TTGAACATTGCTACATTTCAAACTGGAGCTAGAGGTGGAGTTGTAAGCTTGGAAGTTTTTAGCATGTATAGCTCAGGTTTGGACATCTGGTATTGATTTGGCTGCAGGAGTTGTTCTCTGACAATATATTCACCCGTGATGGGATGGACATAAGCCTTATGGATTTCTGGGAATGGAATAAACTGTGGTGGAGCACAACAACTCTCTTAAGGGTACTTCATTGAGAGCAATATAGTTACAGATTTTCAAGGTGCTCTGGTGAGAAGCAGCTCAGGAGTTGGCAGGAGTTCAAAAGAAAAATAAACACTACCATTGTGAAAAATGTGCGCGTTGAGGCTTGTCTGACAGTATGTCCATGGCTGTACCTACAGCTCATGTATGGCTCATATATAAATCATTGTGGGGGAACACAAAAATATTTATTCTTGAAGTGATGATTGAACTCTGCTTGGACTGTCTATGTATAACACTTGCATCTTTAATAATTGCTGTATATTGTTCCAGTGGGAAAACAGTCTGAAAATATACTTTATTAACCAAGGGATAAATTAATTAAACATTCCTGAGAAACAAATATGGTTTATTGTGGATTAACTTGCATTTTATTGCCTATGTCTCAGTCCAAATAATGAGTAAGTGACTGATGGTAATGACCAGCACTTGCCTTTGTAAGCAAATGTAATTCTTTAGTTAGGTACACAACTGTGATGGAAGCAAATTGCATGTGAAACTAAAAACAGTGTGGATGAGTGATATTCCGCAGCATAAAGATTAGTTACTAACACCCCCTCTTCAATTATGAGCATAAAACTCTTATGTGACACATCCCTGCTATGCAATCTGTTCCACTGTGCAACAGGATCATTTCACAGCTAACCAAATCTTAACTGGAATTGATTGGTATAGTTCATACAAGGATAGAGCCAAGTCTTGTAGATTACATCTGATGACACAATGCTAAGTGAAGCTCAACACAGTTTGGGCTAAGATGCTCTGTAGTCCAAAAAGCCACATGCTTACTACTGACTCCGAGAGGAAGCACTGTTGTCAGGTTGCAGGTGAACATGATACATCATCAACAGTGAGGATACATGAACTTGTTTTGTCTGGAACATGCCATTCTAAATGGGGAAATATGAAGTCGGGGTGATTTTTTTTAAATCTGAAAAAGAGCAGCTACCTTTGCACTGGAGTAATTTAGTTTAACAGCTCACTAGTGGGTGTTACAGTAAATATGTCCACATCTGAAATATGTCAGTCCTGAAACACTCCAAGACCAAGAGTTCACTCAGGTCTAGGCTGGGTGACACATAAGGCAGATGACATTTGAGGTGAGGCCAAAAGGAGATAAAGTGCAGTAGCTTGAACTGGCTTATTTATCTATTATTCATACAATCACATTCTGTTTAAGAAATTCCAGCTTAACTGCAGCACCACAGATCTCATCAAACCTCTTAAAAGGCGAGCAATATGGTAACAAAAATATTTCAAATTGCGCTCTCACTTGAGGCTACAAAGAATTAATTCATTGGCAGTGGCTGCATTTTATGGGTTACTCAGATATGGAAAAAATGGGCTAGAATTACATTGCTTTCAACTATTTGACAGAGGGGAGAAAAAAAAAAAACTCATCCAAGATTCAGATGTACTTGTGAGTTCTGATGAATGAATTTATGACCCAGTCTTTGTGGAATACAGTGGTGCATGTGGCACAGATCCAGGATTTTCAACGCCCATCTCTCAACTCTCTCTCTATTATAAAGACCAAAGGCAAGTTGTTAAAAGCTGCACAGAGCTTTCACTTCAGCTGTTGCCATTACATGACAATTTTGTGCCTATTCCTCTGCAGCTGTCACCACAACAACAGATGTACTGACTTTGACGTCCTTAATAATAAATGTCATGCCAGACTGACTAATTTAGTCCTAATCTAGACAACTTATATCCTACTGCAGAGGCCACACAGGAGGGAAGGGTGTAACTTTTCCTCCTGTTTCTTTCTAGCACTCCTTCTCTTGCTTTTACAGATTCATCCATGAAATCACTCAGATACAGGTCCTTCAGTCCAACTCTCATCATATGCGCTTCTTCTACTCTAACTGCTCAATCAAAGGATAAAAGCGATAGAAGGGCAAAGAGAAAGTGCAGGCCACATGCATCTCTCAGTTCCACAGCTAAAGTGGAAGGTGTGAGGAGGAGTAGGAGAACAAGAAGGAAATCTTTAATTTTTCTATTGCACTTTCTCCTCTTTTTGCAAGTGAAAGGGTCTGGTGTCTATCCTATGCTCCTTTAACTTCTCTTTTCTCCCAGTCTATGTGCAGATTGTGGGTGAATGGACACGAAAATGGATGAGGGCCAGCAGGGAGCAGCAGAAGAGTGAGTTAATGAGGCAGATTGCTCTCTTTGTCTCTGTGCAAGAGATTACAGGAAGATTACCCATTCTGATTCTCTTCTCTTCCAATTGCGCTCTCTTAGTCTCGGTGGTGGTAAACTAGAGGGGCGTGGCAGAAGGGAGGAGGCATGGAAAGGGTGTGAGTGCTCATGTTTTGATAGAGGTGAGACAGAAGACAATGCCTACGCTCTCTGTCAGGGGAAAATGACAACTACTCAAAACACTGACCTGCGACCGGGTAGACTTTCTGACAGGTGCCTCCTATCTGACTGTTGCTGCTTTGAGGGCAGTGCTTGAACTAAATACACCTGGCATAAGACTGAATATCTTCCACCTAGAGAAATGCACATGGTGGACACTCAATATGCATTTCAAAAGGTGATGCTTTGTGTGGTGTTCAAATGGCATGCTGATTGTGTGTTGACCCAGAATGATGGCATTTGAGTTGAAAAGCTGAAGATTTGTATTCAGGAAAGTTGTTGGAAGCCTCATGTCAGAGGTGTGAGCAAAAACAAAAAGAAGCAAAGGACCTCAAATCCACTTTTTGCACTCGCCGAATAACAAACAGCGAAAAGGTCTGGAGAAATTATTCAAATTACAGGGGAATTTGCAATTATTATAAGTCATCTCAACCCACAAAGGCAATGTTAAGCACCCTTCATGAAGTGCACTGAAAGCTCTGAGAACAAAAGTGGAATCATGTTTGGGCCCATTATCTGTCTGCTCAGTGTGTATAAGAGAAGCTATTTGGCTATTTCCAAAGCCATTGTCATAATTGTTAGACTGAGTTGATTGTGGAGTCATTTTTTATAAGAACTTCTTTTTGCCAATTCCTAATTAACAGTGTGATGCCAAATTGTGCTTGGAAAAAGCAATAGTGATGTTCTAAATCTTTGGCTGAATGATGATAGGTTGCCTATACTGAGAAAAAATGAATCACCAGTGGGCAAATGTTGGTGAAGCGTTTGAACATGACTTTTCATCCTAGCTTTATGAGACCACACACTTCTGGCCTGAGAAACTAACCAGGAAATTATGAGTCACATCTAGTCGAAGATGGCTGGCTGAACAGGTACTACCTGTTGTGTAGTGTGTGTGGTTCAGCTAGGCCTTATTGTATTTTCATGGTAAATGCCAATCAGTCAGAATTAGACCTCTGTATTCATCACATTTCATCACAGTGATCACTGTGTGGAAAATCTTTATCACTGTTATTCAGCAACATAATTAAAAATACAGTACATACAAACGGTATTACTGCAATTTTCCATAATAAGGATCTTCCCATTTTGTCACATAAGTCCAATAAGAAAGACGGGGAAGTGGTTGTGGACGACATGCACATATAAAATGCCAAGTCACAAACGTAAAAACGGTAAACATTCCATAGCTTTAGTATAAAAAGGCAGAGCATGTCAGCTTTCCCACCGGTGTTAGGGACTCTCCTTATGTGGTGTCTGCTTTTTTCCTCACTCTGGTGGCGTCCTTCCCATCCGTCTCTGCCTCTGCGTGGCTGATCTAGACAGCCAAAGCTCGGTTTCATTCCTGGACCTACAACTAACCCCACAACCCAACTTGTCTCTCATAATCTTGGACCTACTGCTTTATAGTTTTGTTTTTTTTTTTGTTATTTCTGAGATTTTGTGAAGAGACCCCCCAAAAAAATTTTTTTTATGTAACTATTGTACGAGCGTACATTTCAAACGCAGTGTGTTGAGCCCATTTACCCGGGGAAAACACTTCGGAGATTACATTAACACCACAGAGGATCAGATCACAGCCATTCTGCCCTTCAGCGACCAATTACGATGCAGCTGTTCAGTAAAGAAAGTATACCCTCGGTGGCCTAAATTCCCGTGTCATAAAGATGTTAACTTAGACATTTTAAAGATAAAATCGTGGTTTAAAATGAATAAAACAATACACACATTTTTAATGTCAATATTATGAATCTCCCCTTTAGTGGGTGAATTTCCTGCAAATTTTAATCTGGTATTTGGAGTGAAAAGTACGTGTATGAAGCAGGCTATGTGTGTGTGTGTAAGGCTTTGTGTATTACAGTTCAGGCTCATACGTATTTTATTCTAAACCGGAGCCATTAAAATAAAACTAAACCTCAGGTTTAATGAGTGTCAGAAGCTCTCTCCGGATTGTCTAGAAACACATCCATAGCTTAAGGATGAAGAGAAACTGACTTTCACCGTGAGATTCACAGTCAGATTATTTTGCTGCTTGTCACGAGTGGCTTCAAAACACATATGTCCATCATTTCCGCCCACAATGGATTCAACGTGTCTACTCCCAGTGCCACAGAAAACAAACAGCAGACCTCATATCAACTCGCCCCCCTCCAAAATCTTCTCCAAATATCTTCCCATCACGCGTCGTTTGCTCCTGGGTCGTTCTCAGCAGAGCAAACCTAACAAATGTTTATTACTGGACCATCTTATGTTAGTGCATCGTTTCGTTTTTTCATGACACCTGTCATCATTTGGGCTTTCACTCAGACAGGGAAATTCTCACAAGCAAGAAAACACACACACACACACACACACGCAAACAAACAGAAGCACACAGTCAGTGCAGCTAAGAAGAAAAAAGTCCTTACTTGTGCTTTGCTGCAATTCCTCCGATATTATTCTCCAGACTTGGAGAGGTTTGTAAAAATCCCTTGATATAACCTGAATGCAGTGTAGGCTTCTGTGTTTCTTTTCTTTTTCTTTTTCTATTTTTTTATCCAGAGCGTTGAGCAGACCAGAAAGCTGGTTTTCTTGCCCCCTCTCTCCTCCAAGACAGATGTGAACGGTCCTGGTCGAGTCGCTCCACCTGCATCACTGCCGTCAAACCGCAACAAGGCAGCAAATGCAACTTCAGATTTATATTTTCAAATTAAAAATCCTACACCGGTGTGTATCGCTAGAGCTTTTATTGTGAAGTTTCCGTCGCCGTGTTTCGGGTGGATGCTTCTTGGTGTTTCTGGCTACTTTAACGCATCTCCATCTCCATCCACTGGCAAAGGAGGCACAGCGGTATCAGTGGCAGCGGCAGCGGCACCGCACTGAGCAGGACGCCCGCTGTGACACGCCCCGCTCCGGCTGAACAAGGCCACTTCACCCCGGGTGAGGGAGACGGGATGGCGGTGATGGCGGCTTTTCTTTCCAAATAGTCACACCTAACAGGCATGAAAGATTTTAGAAATGCATAAGGTCAAAGTAGATGAAAGTATGCGTAATTATCAAACAGACCCCGAGAACATAAGACAAACCAGTGAGTGATTTCAAGAATAAAACGTCATATTGATCAATTAGAATCAAAGAATGAGATTAAGTTAAAAAAATCGGTATTGTAGTATCATAAAAATCAGCAAAATATACCCACAGAACCAAACACAAACCACAAATAGATGCGGTTTTGAAGGATGGTTAAAGGTGCCTATAATAAGACATCAAAGATGACAGCCTTGTCTATTATTTGCTAGCTGTGGTCCTAATTATATGAAAATCACAGTCTGAGTCAAAATGGAGCAATTACTAATGAATCAGACTGTTTTTAAATATATAACTCTCAGGTGCACTGCTGCTATTATTTGCTAATGACTGCCCACAGCTTCGAACATTTCTACAGGCAGAACGGTGGGTCTATGAGCTCCATTTGATCACTGTCATAAAAGCAAAAAATAACATAAAGAGACATCAGATTTTCTTCATAGATGACATATTCTCCCTATTTTATATTCAAAAGGAATCAAATATAAATAAAACATTTCACATTGTGTTATATCCTCATAAGCAGGTGTCACTAGTACTCAAGATATAATAGGTATAGTTCATATATACCGTATCACACTCTGTGGAATTTCAAGTTCACTAGAGCATATAAAGTATTACTCTAACACTCCACAAAAACTACTGCTGTAACATACAAGTGGGATCAGTTTTGACTAGCTGAGCCATTCCCTTTCTGCTGCACCATCACCTGTTAACCTAAAGACTGGCCCATCGCCATTACTCCTGGCAAAAACAAGCTGTCACCTGCACAAGCGGTGCACATTTGATCTGAGCAGAGAAGGAGGGCCATTTGAGTCGGGGAGACCATTTGAACCTGAAACGACATTTCTCTCCTGATCTCACATTCTCATTGTGCCAGACACTGGGCTGACAAAATTCCTCATCAGTAGGTCTGCTGCTCTGTCTTTCCTAGGCCCACATCTTTTAAGCCTGCTCCACTCATTTAATGGATACATTTTCTTTCGTAAAGCACTGGAGCATATATAACACCGAGAACTCTTCAAGTTCAGCAATTATTATATTTCCTTGGGAATGTACATATGAAGCATTCAAAATCAACTCTAGAAAAGGTTAGTTTACATTTTAACAGGTGATCAATCAGAGACCTCTGGGAACCATTGAGACACAGGCACACACTATTTACACATAAATCAATAATGTGTCTTTGGACTACTTTGACAGTGTACCCCATTCATCTAGCCATCAGCGAATTCAGCCTTAAAGGTCTGTCCACGTCAGAGGCGAGTTGTGTTTCCAAGGCAAAATTACAGTACTAGTCAATGAACCCGAGGGGGGTGCATCAATCACAGGCTTATTGAGCAGTGTGGTATGAGAGAAGCCTGTCAAAAGAATATTGGCAACTCTCAGACTTAATTTCTCAGGCCAGAGGATCAGATTAAAAACAGTATTGGTTCAGAGTAGGTGGCGCATTGTCACTGCACAAAGTTGAGTCACCATAGTTTCAAATTTTTCAAGCTACCGCAGCTGTACAAGGCTGAGAGGAGAGCATTATTAAACATTCACTCCGATTTCAATGTTGTGTGGTCCTAAATGGTACTGCAATGTTTTTATTAGATGCTTTTGAGAACTTCATTTACATTATACTGTGTCTTACAATTTGCTAATACAGTATCTGCTAAAGAAGGTGTCTGTCTTCAAGTATATTCAAGCATATTGTATGTTCAGTGGTCCAGTGTAGCTAATTAGAATTCAGAGATGACTCAAAATGAAGCTCGTCTGCCCCTGAACTGTTCATTTCAACAAGAATTTGAGAGAATACATGCTAATTTTTCCTTACAGAAGCTGGAGGAGAGGCTGGTTTGAAGCATCCTAACCTATCTCTGGGGTATATGTACTGTATCCTATTGCCTTTTTCTCTGGGATAACCCAAGCACTAATAAAAAAGACCAGACTAGAGATAACTCTTTTACAACCCTTTTACAACCCAGAACTAATGCTTTAAAGACAACTGTTCTAAAGGATGGCTGTTATTAGGAACAATTTACAATTCTTTAGCAGAAAAACCCAGAACAAAATTACCTTTGAAAAACAGCACATGTAATTATATGTATCATATATACAGTATGTATATACCAATTATTTGCACCGTTGTTAACAGTGAGTTATATAATTAGATGGTATTGTTGTAACTAAGTGAGTCTGCCCAGACCATCCCCAGAAGACTGGCTGTTAAGTTGGTGACAGGGATCTAAAGTATCAAATAAATGAACCCTTTCTTGGATGCAGAGGTCTAAAATAGTTCATTTGGTTGTACCACACATTTTGATACCAACAAACTCTGTGGACATGTTACTTGATGCTTGTAACTTATCTTTATCATGCCTTCGCGCTAGCAATAGCCTTGGCCTGAGATATTATGTTTTCGGGTTGCCCATCTGTCTGTACGAGTCTTGTGAATGCTGTATCTTAGGAACACCTTGAGATAATTTCTTCAAATTTGGCACACATGTCCACTTTGACTCAAAGACAAACTGCTTAGATTGTGGTGGTCAAAGGTCAGTGACCTCACTTCTATCCCATACCCATGAATTTGATCGGTTGGTGGAGGCATGAAACCATGAAGAGATAATTCTAGTACTTTTTGTAATGTAGACACTATTAACAGGACCCTCCAAGGGCTGCAGATAAATCTGAGGGGTGGAGGAAACAAACCTTGGCTATACAGTTTGTCTAACTTTTTATAATTATAGTTTTTTCTTGTGACCCAGAAACTCTCAGTGTCTTCTAAGTTGTTGTCATTGAGTGCTCTTATGCATATGACATATTTCAGAGCCCTGCTTTTTGCAAACACGTAGGTCTATGGGGTCACTGTTAGATGCATACTTCAAATGTGAGTCAGTGCTGCTGGTGCGACTAGAGTTTTCTATTCAAAGATGACATCTAAAAATAAATGAAAGTATCTCATAGCAGACAGATGTCGAGAGAATGTATAACACACCAAATATCATCAAATAACCACCAGCCTGTTATCGTGATCTGATTTGAATCCAATAGAGACTTCATGGCTTTTAAATATTAGTATAACTCATTCCAGTGGCATGATTTCCAGCACCCTGATTTAATATTCTTGACATATAAAGCTGGTTGATTTGATAAGCTTTCACTCATGAGTAATTCAATTCATTGTTGGAAGACCCTGTGAGGTTGTTGTTTTTTCCTTTTCTCTCCAATGTGCTAATTAAAACTAATTGAATTGAATTGATGGTACCATGCCCCTGAATCACAGCACTACCATCTCAGTCCTGCTCATCCCTGAAATGAGACAAATAAAGTGTGCCATGTAATCAGAAATGAAAAAAAGTCAACACGCCAAGGAAGTCGTCTCCCTTGTTTGCTGTTATTCTTGTGAGCGCATTATCGCACTTCCATTAAATTCACTAATAATAAATTGGAATAAAGCAGAGCACAGAGAGGGAGTTGTTTGAACACAAGTAAATTTGGTTTCCTTAGATGTGACAGTGATTGTTATGTCCATAAAATGTCCCCTTGGGTGCATTTGGGGTTGGCTTGCAATCAATACTGTGATACTTATAAGTTGGGAAAAGTTGACTTTACAACTGTGCTATAACTGCACAGCTTTCTGTGGCATGAGAGGGCTGTTGTGAGCAGACTGACGCAGAATGGTGACATACACAGTGGAGGAAGAAGTAGTGAAGTTTAAATATGAAGCAGCAGAAAATGAAGATACTCAAGTAAAGATACCTCAAAATTGTATTTAAGTAAAGTACTTGAGTAAATGTACTTAGTTACTTTCCACCTCTAGATATACATTCATCTACTATCATACTAGTGTTGTGTCAGTGTGTGCAGTACTACTGACTACACTACGTTCAGGTACAGAATAAACAACAGTAAGATGACACAAAAATACAAAATTTAGTTTACATAATTTGATATGGTGTAATGCTACAGTATATAAGTGCTGTTAACAAAATAAAAATGTAAACTTAAGTTAGTGTACTTGCATGCCATGTGTGCTTTATTTAGTAATATTCAGATTTAATTAATATTGCTGTTGATTACTGTGTCTGAAAAGACTCAGTACAGTAAATATAAATGTCCATATATAATGTCCTTTATCGACTCCTGTTTCCTCTTTATCATTTTTGTCTTAATCAAAAAAAAAGCTGAACTCAGTGACATGACAAGGCACTTTAAATTAGTCGATTGATATATTAGGCGAATGAAAATCATTCTGTTGTGTAATTTTTTTCTGCATCATGTGGACAAGACAGTGAGGACAAGATAGGACCTTTTCAAACTACTGTATATGACTATCTGTGTATTGTCACATGATTATTTTTTTAATCTGGAGGCCTTAATGCTCTTATGTTCTTTGAATACTCAGCATTAAAGCAGTTCTTACCCTATAGACTTTTGATTCACCCTACCCTACCTAACCCTAACCCCGATTCACTTAATGAGCTTCTCATGTCAGATTAACTCACCATTGGTAATATCTGTGGTTAAGATGTACAGTGTGCTCAGAATGCAGTCTTATTGTTATTAATGT